TCTCTCTCTCCCTCTCTTCTCCTCTCTCTCTCCCCCCCCCATCTCTCTCTCTCTCTCTCTCTCTCTCTCTCTCTCTCTCTCTCTCTCTCTCTCTCTCTTACACTCTCTCCGTCAGATCCAGAAATAACATGCCACTGAAGCCTGCTACCAACACTGACGTACGGCTATGTCTCCACTGACCAACACTCGCGCTACTGATGACCAAAAGGGGCGGCTATTGAACCCGGACTTGTCTCCTCAGTGACCCGCCCTCTGTCCACACAGGGGTAAATTGGATTACTTAAGAGCCACCTATCACGCAATTCTCTAGCTTGATTTGCTGTAACTTACAGAAAACCGAGGAGACTGAAAAGACAAACGTAGTCTTCAATTAGGTTCGTTAGAGAGAGGGAGAGAGAGATAAACTGAAGGCTTCCGTCGCAAAAGGTGCTATACACTAGAATCTGGGCATTACACAGAAACACACTTGTCCACTTCATAGTCTTATGATATAAACCGTTAAGAGAATGTTTTTTCCTTTCAAAACGCACAGCATCTCGAGATATTGAATTAGCATGATAACACTGCGTTTTGTTCATAATTTTGTTTTTAAGTAATCCACCCCTTCAGTTGGTATAGGTTTTAAAAAAAAGACTTTCACCTACCTTTTTCTCTATTTGCAATAAGGGGTATTATACAATATTTCGACAACTTATATTAGTGAATTGTATTCACCAGGAGACACGAGTAAGACAGTTGTCTTAGAGACGAAGCAGGCTTATTTTATTATGTCTAATCAGCAACATAGTAGAAGTAGTGTTAATGCACTTCAGCACTTTCACCGGTATGTATAACATCACCTGTCTTGTTAAGATTTAGAGAAAGGTAAAAACTGAAATAAATATGTATATAAATAAGAAATGCCCCAAAATTTGCTGGTTCCCAAGCGTAGAGGGTCTTCAGCTAGCAAAGAAGACAGGTTGCCAAATCATTCATGTGGGAGAAAATCCTAGGCTGAAAGAAATACAGCATCTTAACAGAAAACCGTAATCAAACTCACAGCTTCTGTCTTTCGTAGAGTCTAGATGGCAGTTCAGAAGTAATAGGGGAGGAGACAATAATGTAATTATGTTCATTGTCGATTTCTTTTAGTTGTGAATCTGTACCATGAGGCGGGTGATGAGGAATAACTTATTCGTGTATGAACATTGTCAGAGTTTTTGAAAGTCGAGGAAATGCCAAACGTCTTGAAATTTGGTTGTGAGATTACCACTGTGTATAAAATGCACGACTCATATTATAGAAATTGCAAAACTACCTAACTGAATTAGCGGTGCCACATTGTTTGGCCATAATAATAGTTTTTTGTTTGTTTTTGTAAAGTGTTTTACGGCGCTCGCAATTGCATAAGGTCATATGAGCGCGCGGGACACACCTAATATTTTCAGTAGGTAGGAAATTTTGAATTTTGCCCGGGTGGCGGCCGAAGCCTACTCTTATCGATTTTAGACCACCAAGAGATCTTTAACGTGCGCAACTTGCACACGGGCCCTCCGAGATTTTTCGCCCTTGTCCCGAGAAGGCTAGGTGTAGATCTTTCCTACCAGAAGATCAGGGGTGTGGCAGAAAGACAGCAGTAAGGAGGAGCCAAGGAGTAGCAGTAGAAAGGCTGCAGAAAGAGTCAGGAGCCCAGAGGAGGGGGCAAAGGAGGTGAGGGGGTGGGGGGCAGAAAGTGGAAATGAAAGGAGACAACAGAACATTGCTAGAGAGCGGGAAAGGAGGTGAAAGGAGACAATTTTAGAGAATAAGATTTTTCGGTCGCTACCCGGATTCGAACCCGGGACCTTTGAATGAAAGGCCAACACCTTAACCTCTAGGCCACGAGAGCCCCATGAATACTATTTTGAATATAAAAGAAAGTATTTAAAAATTGTAATCAGGACGCTAAAAAGAAATTGCCGAAAGTGACAATCAGAATAAGTAACTCGTTGCATCTTTCGAAAACTCAGGACTGAACCCCATTGTCCTCATTAAATTTTAATTCAAGGATATTCATGCGCTGCAGGAAGATGAACATATTTAGTAACGTATTCTTCATCTTATAGCCTTCCTTTTCATACAATGTGGGAAAATAAGGTCGTAAAATAATAATGTTGTAAGATAAAAAAGGATAATCTTTATGACTTTTAATTTTTTCAAATGAAGAAGCCCGAAACATTGAGGAAACAACTTTGAAATATAAATAAATAATTGAAAACTGCTAAAAACAGCGTCAACAGAATAGGAAGAAGCAAGACAGAGCACTCGGTAAAGCTGACCATTTGAGGAAAAAACGTCTCTGTTGTGGGATTACTTGTTTTAAAAGACGCATTTTTACTGCAAGTGTTGAAATTTTAACTTGTTAAAAACGTATTATTGCTTATGGCAAAGCCTTAAAAAACACGCACCCTCTTGTGCATATTGGATCAACCTTTCGGCAGCATCAAAAGTAAGGAATTAAAAAAATAATCATAATTTGAAAGCAAATTGAATCCTTTCATTTGGTGCCCAAAGGTATGTTGTGTCCAAATTTTATCAAATTTTGAGAGGAATGGGTTAATATGCTTTTTTTAAAAAGTCGCATTGGAACATGAGCTTCTCAAAATATATAACCTAGGAAGTGTCTAGGTGTCTAGGTAGTCCCAAGTTGGGGTCTAAGTAGTCAATGAGGCTAGGTGCTCCCCAAAATTGTTGGATTGTGAACTCGTGACCCCGGGTTGATTTTTTTAAAGGAAGTAGTAGGTGGGCCAATGCTGAGAGTTTTTAAAAATTAGAGGGTCTAGATCTATTCTCTTAAAACAGAAATTGATAATTCTCGCAGCGCTTAAAGCGGAAACGGATATGTTTAAAAATTTTAATTAATGGTGAAAAAGAATGCATCACTTGTGGAACATTTTTTTTTAAATTAGAAAGAAGAAGAATTTGAAGTTATAAATATGTGCCATGTGCACTATTCAATCACCTTTAATATACCCTGTAAATTTTGAAGGCATTTGGTTGGGTAGTTTTTGGAGTTTTAGGCAAATATAAAGTGTGTCCACAAAGTCTTGAACGTGCACTGTGGCCTATTTTTTTCTCTATTTTATTGTAGTGTCAAAACACAGCAAGTGTGCATCAGTAGACATGTTCACATTTTAACCAAGCACAACAAAGGGAAATAAACATACTAAAATAGAGAAAAGTAGGTCGCAATTCAATGTCAGGACTTTATAGGCGCACTGTATTTAGATTGAGGCAGAGGAAAACAAATGAACAAGTTTGCCACCTCCTAAACACTAGTGAAGAATTGTTACAACAGATAAATTACAGTATTTCGGACATATAAAATGCCATTCCTTAATCTGAAGGTTTATACTAGAGTGTACCGTGGAGGGAATAAGACCGAGAGACACGTGATGATAGATCAGGTCTACGGAAGCCATGGTGGCTAGGTGCTCCTCAATAATTGGGACCACCTAGACACTATGGCTACGTAGTCCCCATTTGAGGTCTACCTAGACAGTTCCTATAACCAAACACGTATTTACATTTTCTGGATGTTATCCTGCAAAAATGTTTTTAAAACAACTGTAAGCCTGTTAAATAGTTTCCTTTACATTGCCTCCCCCCCCCCTTTCCACAACTCCTGCCCCCAAATACGCAAAAAAATATCACTTTGCCACTTAAACCGTACTAAATAACAATCAATTTTGCTAGGAGATAAGATGATACTACAGTAATAGTTGCCGCCTTTACGTTGGGTCCAAATCAGAAGCTGATGGACAATAAAGAACAACATAGGAAAATGGAGCCTCCCCCCCCCCCCCCCCAAAGGTACATTGACAATCAAACAGCTCTTGATCAAAGACGAACTTGTCCCTTCCCCTGTATGTTCGGAAAGTGTTTGGAGAAAAGGGTAAAGAAGACAGAGCGTTCCTTTCAAAAAGTACTTTTGGATTTTTTTTCTTTACCGAGAATGAGATCTAATATAATAAATAATAATAATAATAATAATAATAATAATAATAATAATAATAATAATAATGATAATAATAATAATAATAATAGTAATAAAGATAATCAGTTTCCCGAGAAGCATACCATGCAAGCAGCTGATTAAGCGCTCAAACACTAACACGCTGACAAGGTGTTTCACTATCTATTGCGGGGTAATCATTCTCACCTAGGCCAAGTGAGGAAAATTCGTGTAAAGTGCCTTCCCCGACGACACAACGTCGGGTGTTTGGAGGAATTCGAACCCACAAACTTAGGGTTGCGAGTCTGAGAGCCTAACACTAAGCCACCGACGCCACAAAATGGAAAACAGTGGAGAGAGCAATAGAGAAAGAGAGAGAGAGAGAGGGGGGGGGATTGAGAGAGAGAGAGATAGGGAGACAGATAGGGAGAGAGACAGGAGTGAGAGAGAGAGACGGGAGAGGGAAGGGATGGAGAGATAGAAAGAGAGAGAGAGACACACACACAGAGTGGGGCAGAGAAAAACGAGGCAGTGGCAGGGAGAAAAACCTCTTGTTCTCAATACGCCCAAGGGACGTCAACGGTAAAATAATTCCAAGAAGCGAGCAAGTCAAAGGTTGCGTACCTTTCACAAGTTTGCTCGGCGAAGAAATGGGCAACAACTTCACTGATACATCAAATATTTAGCCAGAGAAGAAAACCTATGGGCTTACAGACAAAAAACACTCTTGAATGTGTGTCTACGTACGTTCGTGTGTGTGTATTTGTATGGTTTGTGTGAGTGAGTGTGCGTGTGTATGTATGTGTGTGTGTGTGTGTGTGTGTATGTCTGTGTGTGTGTGTGTGTGTGTGTGTGTGTGTGTGTGTGAATGTGTGTGATGCGTGTATTTTTGGGTGCATATTAGAGAAAGAGAGAGGGAGAGAGAGAGAGAGAGAGAGAGAGAGAGAGAGAGAGAGAGAGAGAATGACAGACAGAGAAAGAAAGAGCAAAAGGGAGAGAGAGAGGGGGGGGAGAGAGAGGAGAGCGAGAGAGATAGAGAGAGAGAGAGAGAGAGAGAGAGAGAGAGAGAGAGAGAGAGTATGTTTGTTCGTGCCAAAATAAAGCGACAGTTATCTCGTTCGCGAATAATATAAAAGATAAAATCAATTCTGTGGTTTAAAAGTTTCGAAAACCTGGAGAGGTTGTTTCTAAAATGCATATTACTGGCTCAACGTGTGAATAAGATTAATTTTTTAAAACATGAAATAAACAAAAAATCTCACCGCAGCTCACATAGTTACGATATGTTGCATGCTGTCAAGTGCCAAACTTCATAAACCCAAAAGGAACCATGAGGTATCTGTTAACTCTACACAATCTATCGAACTGTGTTTTATCAGTTGTCAAATACTGATTTATAAACATTTGAAAAGGTACGAATTTTCTTTTTGTCGTTTTATTATTAATCTAACTTTGTACATAATATGTCGATGGGCGCATTTTCATTTGCATGGTACCGTGTCCTCTTCAAATATAACGTTTTCCAAGCAAAGAACATAACAAACATCAATTATTAGTTGAGTCCTTTTCGAATACAAACTTTAAAAAATTAGAACTCCGTACTACTAATGTAGAAAAGGAACCATACAAACGAACAATCCCTTTCATTAAGAGGAAACACAACTCTGCAAACAAAAAACAATGCCAACAAAAACAAACAAACTAGCACAAAAAATAAACGCACCGACAAACAGCATAGGAACCCCAAAAGAACAATAATTATAGCTCCTTGTGTCTCTTGAATACCCAAAAGGGTAACAAAAAAACCCCCAAAAAGAATAAAAGCTGCTCAGCTCCATGTGTAATATTAACGACAAAAATGCAAACTCAAAGTCCCTTTCAAAAACTACAAACAGACATAAATACAAGTAAGAGTAACTCACCTCCACAAACGCGTCCTCCTGCGTATCCTCCGGGATTGTCCCCCCTTCTGATACATCCATGAACTGCTCAGCCTCCGTCTCCTCGCTACCGTGGAAGACTTTGCCCATGGCCACTTCCTCCAGAGACTGCAGCCTGAGGATCCTCCTCCTCGTACGACGCCGCTGGTACAAGCCAAACGAAGCCTGGTTCTGGTTGGGAGAGCGCCCAGGGCTGGGGGAGGGAGACGTACGCTCCCTTTCATCAAAGCTATGCTCCGAGCCCTGACTCAACCTCGATTCTCTCGAGGAAAACCCCCAAGGCGACGACCTCTTCATTTGGGGTTCAGAACTCCCGCCACCAGCAGACGACGATTTATTTACTCCTTCGGTGCTTTGGTGGTCTTGAGAAGAAGAGGAGGAAACCGCTGATCCAAAACTGCTGGAGAAACTAGACAGCTTTTTCCGGAGTTTCCCGGTCTGGCCCAAAGAAGCCACGGAAGCTTGGAAGCTTTCTTTGGACTCGTCGTCGTCCTCAGCGATATCCATGGACGTGACGCGAGCCTGCCTCACAGCTCGGGGTTCCGAAGATACGGCAGCAGAGGAATCGCGGCTGTTGTCCGCATCCATAGATACCTCATCCGGCAGAGAGAAGCTGACGCGAAGCTCTTCGGAGTGCTTGTCAGTTCCGGTTACTCGTTGGAACTGGGAGCGAGTCTCGGATACCTTCACGGAAGTAGAGGTTCGGCTCTGAACCGACGAATCTTCTCGGGAAGAACGGCTTTGGATCCGAACTCGCTCAGAAGAACTTTCTTGAGAGCGAACTTGCATGGAGGAGGAAGAGGCTATGGTGGTTTCCTCGGAGCGAACCGATTCCTTGATTCGATGACGAGGGGACGTATCCGGATCAGATTCGGATGAATGCTGGATCCGAGATGATCGCTGCAGGTGGCGTGGGGAATCGATAGTTGATCGACTCTGCGATGCTTTTGCATCAGACGGTTTGCGAGGTGCAGACATATTGATATCCAATACTGAACAATGACGTTGATATATCCTTTGAGGGGTGAAAAAAACAATGCAACTGAAGTAAATTTGCTATACACGGTATAACTATGTTGGTGTTTAAAAAACAAGGATGAAATCACACAACAACACAAGCAACGACAGGAAATGGTATTTAATCCAAAGAGGTCACGAGTTTAATAATCCAGGAAGCACGAGAAGTAACAATCTAGAAACACAAGAATTGCAAGCTCTAAGACACAAATGGAACGTCAACACTATAACACTTTGGCAAAATCAAAACGACGAAACGAAAAATGATCGAAGGTTTGTCGACTCTATCATAATACAGCAATCCTTTGGTGCGGAGCAACAAAGACGCTTAGCCTCACAGATGAATGCAAGATTCTGATCAGTAAATAAAAGAAGACTCAGGTAGTCAATGATAAGACCCCTCTCCTCGTAACAGCTGGGACGTGCCTCAGACAGGGACGAATCCTGTACAACACAGGGAGCTTCTCAAGCAGCTGTGAAGACAGATCAAACGTAGCGAATCTGGAAAAAAAATAATATAAACGAGATATAATGAAAGTAAAGAGGATCAATATATGTAACAATAAGTGAATTCCTTTCCCGAAGAGTTGTGATCTGACCGGATTGAAAGATGATAAATACTCAAGGTAAAAATAATATAAGTCTCAGCAGGTATGTTGCAACAACATGGAAAAAGGATTCGTCTCTGTTGAAAGGATAGTAATAAGATAATATGATTATATATTATTAGATTTATTTGCGTAGGAGGTGGGTATCTTGAGAACTACCTTTCAGGGAAAACCGGTGCTTAGTGGGAGTTAGTATCCCGTTAGACTGACAGGGATCCTCTATATCACATATTTTTAGTTTTGAAAGGTGTTCTTTAATATTACACAAATTATTTTCTTGAATATTCCATCTCCAATATTCTTCATGTACGTCTATACCTTAAATATTCGTGTGTTTTTTTTAATTGGAAGGGGGGGGGGGTGGATGGATGTAACATTAGCGTACTGATTTCAGAAAAAAATTTCCATTTTAAAGGAAAAAGTACCGAAAACATTTGCTTCCACGACTTACTTATAGATGCATGACCTGAAATCGATTATATTAAAATCCCTAGATTAATTATTAATACTATGACTTACTCCTTAGTATCACACGCAGCCAAACATCAGTATTCAAATCACGATACTTTATACAAGCCCAGCGGATCTCATTGGATTACCAAAGGACTATACTTTCCAATACCCTTTTTTCTTTCCACAATCAATTTAGATTTTTTTACTGTAGAAAATATCATTGTTTGTGAACGGTGATATTGACGTTAAGTTGTTAACGATTTGCTTTTTAGTTATTGCATAATAATATAGTCCTGTTTAGAAAAAAAAATCCGTCCTGTCGCTCCCTTCGCCCCTAACTGAAGGCGAGGGGAGTTAATTAAAGGACACATTACGTCACAATCACAAGTCCCACATCGGCTTACTTTATTCTCGTGGCAACTTCTTCTAACTTCTTCTAAAAACACAGTGTTTCCAAGGACACACTCTCTGGTGATCACAACTTACGTCAGCCCTCTATAAAAGTATTTCTCTCTCTCTCTCTCTCTCTCTCTCTCTCTCTCTCTATATATATATATATATATATATATAATACGTATACATATTACATATGATATAATAATAATAATAATAATTATACAGTATTTACACACACACACACACACACACTCACACACACACACACACACACACACACACACACACACACACACACACACACACACACACACACACACACACACACACACACACACACATACACATGTGAATTTTGCGCTGGTGGCGGCCGAAGCCTACTCTTATCGATTTTAGACCACCAAGGGATCTTTAACGTTCGCAACTTGCACACGGGCCCTCCAAGATTTTTCGCCTTTGTCCGAAAAGGCTAGGTGTAGATCTTTCCTTCCAGAAGATCAGAGGTGTGGCTGAAAGACGGCAGCAAAAAAGAGCCAAGGAGTAGCAGTAGAAAGGCTGCAGAAAGAGTCAGGAGTCCAGAGGAGGGGGCAAATGAGATGAGGGAGAGGGGCAGAAAGAGGAGACGAAAGCAGACTACAGAACATTGCAAGAGACCAGGAAAAGAGGTAAAATGAGACAATTTTAGAGAATAATTTTTTTCTGCCGCTACCCGGAGTCGAACCTGGGACCTTAACTTCTATGTCACGAGAGCCCCTAAACTACTAGTTGTAGTAGTAGCCAGTAGTAGCAGTAGTAAGTACCCATTGAAAGATTCGTTTTAAAAATAAAACTCTGTCCTATTGGAACCGCGTTGTCAATGAACAACGTTTGTCTTCAACAATTACTTCATTAACGTAGTGCTAAGAACATGATGTTGGCAATTTTAAGTCAGAATATTTTTTGTTTGATTTGGTGTTCAAACATAGATTGTGACGATTCTGATTAAAGAGACCTAGGTTCTTATAAAACTTTTTTAAGAGCAAAGGGACGTCTCAAAGAAATACCAACACTCAGAAAATGGCACTATACACGACAATGGGAAGAAATCTAACAGGGAAAGCTGTGAGATGAAAGCGCCTGAAAAACAAAACAGTTGGAGACTTGAAACGGCCAAAAACAGACGAAAACATCTTCAAACGACTTTAATATTATCTCAACCAAGTACAAAGGGAAACCTTTGATTGGGTCAGGTGATGTATGAAAATACCTTGCTTTTTTTTCGAAGCATTGGTTTGTAATATTACAATCAACGAAGTGTCAGATACACACACACACACACACACACACACACACACATACATACACACACACACGCACACTCAAAGACACACATACACACACTCTTACAGACAAAACGACACACACACATAATCATATACATACGCACAGGGAGACGGGGGGAAGGTAGGTGGGAATTGCAGAGAGAGAGAAAGAGAGAGATAAAGATAAATAAAGAAAAAAAGAAAGAGAGAGAGAGAGAGAGAGAGAG